AATTCAAAAATAAATAAACAATTCTGAAAAAGTAAAATTTCAATGGGTGTGGGTGTGGGTGTGGGTACTACTATTTTCTGTATTTACCTACACCCACACTTCATCCACACACACCCACGTCACACCCACACCACATCCACACCCACACCCACATCCACACCCACATCCACACCCACACCCACATCCACACCCACACCCACATCCACACCTACACCCACACCTACACCCACACCCACACACCCACACCCACACCCACACCCACCCACACACCCACACCCACACCCACCCACACACCCACACCCACACCCACACCCACACCCGTTTAACCTCCTGCCTAAGAAAAAAGCAAAAGAAAGTGTTTTTCTATACAGTTCCTTCTTAAAATATAGCGTGGCCCACCGGTGAGCCACATCGTGATGAATGTGTTAAGTAGTAGAACATTTTGAAAAAGAAACATATCAAATTAAGTGGAGCATTCTAGAGAATATAAACCAATATGTATTAATATAGTACTTTCAATCAAAAATTGAGAAAAACTTTCGATAATTAATGGATTGAAACCCAGGTCGAGCATTACGACGACCAGGTACGACCGTGTACGGTGAAAATACGGCCGTGCACGGGCGCATCTGCGCCGTATTACGGCCGTAAACCGTCGTGCCGTACACGGCGACTTACGGTCGTATACGACGCCCTATCGTATACTGCTGTGGACCAATCACAGTTCAGTAGGACTTTTCTTGCTTATTATAAGGGCAACACTTAGTCATGTTCGGGCCGATTCTATGGTTATCGAGGTCGCTCTATGGAATGAGGGTGTATGTGGGGGGCCCGTCCTTATCCATAGCTGAGAACTAGAATCTCGGAAACTGATTGGTCAATTAAAATAGGCCAATGAGATTTGAGAGTCGCTTTTGGATTTTGTTATGACGACAGTTATTAATGATGTTTGAGGGTGACTTTTCGTTCTTGTTATCAAAACAGCTACTAATCATGTTTGGGTCGATCCTAGGGCACCGAAGGTTCTCTTCGAAATTACCTAAATATGAGTAGCTCTGGCTTTCGTATTGTTGAGAAATCGGATCCAGTGATGTGACTTGTGAATTAGGATAGATCGCGAATCCTTTAGAGCAGCTTTAGTTTGTCGACAGCCATAAAGAATTGCTATTTGCACTGGCCATTTACGATCGGTGTAATACGAAGACGACTGTAAAAATCTGATTGTAATCGGATGTTTAATGAATGTAACTCCTACCTGTGCTATGGCTCGAATGAACTCTAACCTGTGGTGCATTCATATACACATGGTGGATAATGTCTCAGAAAGACTGAAAAAATTCGACTTTCCCATCGAACTCTTGATACACAAAAACGGATTTTAGTCCAAAAATAATGGTCCTCTATCAGACCAGTTACAGTGGACACAGACGGTGCCTTGCCATATTCTCCAATGAACGTATGCAGTCGCCGTATTGCTACGGAAGTCGTTCACGGCAATTTTTACGGTCATTGTTTACGATGGCCGTAAAGCATCGTAAAGCATTGTGTACGATCGCTGTGTGCGGCTACCGTATACAGCCAACTTACATGTTATCTTACAACATTTTATCACACTAACGTATACAGGCACCGTATTGCTACGGTAGTCGTTTACAGCGACATTCTGCGGTCATTGTTTACAATGGCTGTAATATGTCGTAAAGCAGCATCTACAACTGTTGTAAACGGCTACCGCGAACAGTTGAAGTATACGATGTCTAACGGTGTTTTCCGAGCAAAGTATACAGTCGCCGTATTGTTACGGTAGTGGTTTACGGTGACCTTTTACGGGCATTGTTTACAGTAGTCGTAATATGCCGTAAAATATCGTTTACCATTGCTGTAGACGGCTACCGCAAACAGCCGTCGTTATCTGCCGTGATTGATTAGCGTACGGCCGACCATGATTGACCTGAGAACTCGTAAAACAATCATTTCTTCTTTGATATATCATAGAAGTCGCATAAGAAAAAAGAATTAGGACCTCTGATCAGCTGAACACCCTCAATATTGGTTTTTCTAGTATTTGGAGATCGGGCAGCGGAGATACGAGAAGCTTATGGAAATATGATGATAAGCACCGTTGTATGCGACTGTGTACGATCATTCACGGTGGTCGTATACACGTCGTATACGACACGACGAAATACGGTCGTTTATGACTATCGTAATGCTCGTCTTTGGTATAGCTTTAAGCACTATTTTTCATTGTTAAAAAAATTTAATATCACATTTTGCAAGATCCCAGGAGAACGTAATTTAATTTCTTTTAAAAATAAAAAACTCGATCGTTTCAAAAAATGTTGTTTAAGTCAACTTTTAGTCCGTTCTATCTCCATTATGCCAGGCCACGATTTCTTAATTCATTGCGCATTTGCAGACCAGCACAAAATGGACACCAGCATACGACGCAGGCATCGGAGAATGAATCGCCCTTTTGTAAGAAATAAATTATGAGCGAGCAAAATAAATCAAACTTACTCGAATTTTAAGAGTAGCCCGAACTTTCATGCGATAGACTGCAAGAATATTTGAAATACAACAACATGAAGTCTTTGATTCATTAATATCTTCAGCTAACGATCCAAGAAAACAACACCAACAAAAATAAGCATAACAGCCTGAAAGTAATTATTAATTCTTTGTCAATAAGCTCACCATATAATATCATCACTTACACTGACTGACATCGTTGCAACAGTCACACAAGCCTACCGTCCACTCATTGTTAAAATCATGAAATGGATTGACCATTGGTCGAGATTGTGGCTGATTTGTTATAATAAAAGGATGTGTCTTGGTATATGCCATTCAAATTGATGTAATTCGGAAGTGATGACAATGAAAATCCTGAAATTGACTTCTTTAAGTCTTCACTTATCTGAAAAAAAGCGGCGTCCTAAATTCTTTTTGTCCGTTCGAAATCGTTTCCGATCGAACATTAGCTCAGAGATCATTAATTCCAAAGATAAGCTCTATAATATTCGCATGCTCATTCAAACTATACAGAAACAGAAACTAAGATGATCTTGATTCGATTTCGATTCTTTTATCAAAAGAAGATAATTTTCAAACTTAACGATTTTTATGGCACTTAACGAAACGAAAGGAAACAAGTCATTCTTGAAAGAGACAATCTTACAGGAGACTTTCGTTAAATCAGCTCTTGAATGCAGATATTTTGACGTCAAAAAATTTAACCTGAAATCAAGTTTTATAACTATAAATCGGTTATTTTTTCTCTTCTGAGATAATTATTTTGCTTTACGACGATGTATAAATCAATTTCATTGTTAAAAGTTACATGAGTAGTGTTGCTACGCACCTGAAAATATATTTCTTACACAACGACTATTGTACGCAAGTTGTTCCAGAATAGGGGTAGCACTTCAACTTTATTTCACTTTAATAAAGCAAAGTAAAGTAAAGCATTTGACTTTACTTTAATGAGTAAAGAAAAGTTGGGTTACTTTACTTTATCGAGCAAAGTAAAGTAACTCTACTTTACCCGAAAAGTAAAGTAAAGTATCTCTTACTTTACCGAAAAAGTAAGATAAGATAAAATAAGATAAAGTAAAGCATATGGAGTTGATGATTATTGATTTATTAGTTCATTATCACGGATTAATCATATTCCAATGCATCAAAAGTTGCTTCGAATTACGGATCGAAGGCCTCGAAAAGGCTGAACCTAATTTTACTACCTTGAGAATCAGCATTGAATCATGACTATTTTTCATAAATTTATTTTCTACTTTATCACAACCCAATTTTTTACACCTGGGGTCTCTCTCAGGCATCGAAAAATAAATTTTGTTGCTGTTCCATTGCAAGTCTTTATAGTTCAATAGTACCAAGTGCGCTGATTACAAATATTTCATTTGTTTTCAAAAGTACTCAGATAATAAGAAAGATCGGAAGCACATCCTAAAAGCCTTAAAACCTAGCTTTTGCTCAGAAATTTCATTAAAATACGGTTCTACTTCGTCGAAAATAGGTTCATTTTATGCAGAATCTTTTTCTCTGTCAGAGAATATACGAATCTGTTGAATACTTGATTTTTTTCTATCGATAACTGGCATATACCGTCCCATTTGGATCATATTATCTCTCATAATATTTTTCAGCCTGACGAAATTAGAGTTTCTACAGATACAGTGGTTAGATTTCTTTACCAAGCATGCAGCTGAATGTGCTCTTTCAGATGACGATGTTTTCGACTTGAAACTTCATATCTAGTAAAGTACTTTTGCTCAAAATTCTATCCTTGAGATCCTGTTTGCGTCTTTTTTGATTAATATTCTACGGTTTTCGAATAGAAAAATCTCATTTGACTTCAGACAAATGTCATATCTGAAATTAATACAAAACTGAGCCGATCTATGTGGATCAGAGATGCGGAATAGGTTGGGTTGGTAAGAGTACCCATTGAGTTAGGGCTTCTATGGATCAGCCCTAACCCAAACCAGTAGCTTGAGCAGACCATTTATATAATTCCACCTTTGACCTACTTATAAAAAGTTTTAGGTAGATTTTGTGGGTCAATCAAAGAGTCATCCTTGGGCTAACCCATTAAATAATCCATATTTCATAAAAATTAGTTACGAAAAGGTTTGTTCAAGAGGTAAGTCGTCACAATACGAATTTTTAGTCAAGTTAAACCCATCATAACTTCGATGAAATGAATCTGGTCGTATTTTAATGAACTTTCTGGTCATAAGCTGGTTTTTAATGCTGTTAGGAAGTGCTTCCGCTCTTTCCTATAGTGGCATATCCAGGAAATTGTGCGTGGGAAGGCAGTACTCACTGTCCTTCAAACTCTCTCCACGTCATTGTAAATTTTGTCTTCAGTATAAATCAAGTTTTTCAATTATCTAGTTTCTGGTGAGTAACACAAAACAATACATCTGTTCTTTTATTGAATGAAATTAAATTAACAAAGGGAAGAACAAAAGGGAAATACACAAAAAATAATAATTTCAACAGTATTCGACGATTTTTTATGCTGAATTGAGAAAGCATTAACTATCTTTTCATAATCAACAGTAGTGTCTCTCTTTTGATGGCTAGTAATGACAAAGGACTCATCCTAATATCAAATATACTATTATGTGCAGTCGTTTTGATAAGTTTCATTCATTGGTGAAAACAGCAGATGCTTCTTTTGAACTCCAATAGAGTTTGCATCATAGTGAGATGCGTATGGATAGAAAATGAAACATTCAACTGTCTAAAAAGCCTTTTGCTCGCGTAACTACACTTTTATCTCAGCATCGCAGCGTGAGAGCCCTTAGCGCTCTCTCCCCTCCCCACAACAGTGGACAGTCAAGCGACAAAATCGATTTTCAAGATTTAAGTCTATATCATAGCTAGCATTGAAGCTATTATCGTGCTGCATTTAAGTGCATCCTGGACGCTGCTTTTAGTCAGTATCTGTTAAGCAGCCGATCCCACAAAGTATATAAAATAGGTGCATATCATAAATAGGACCACATAAGTAAAATCTATGTTTTAAATTGAGGATCTAATTATGTTCATTAATTATTATAAAGTTATACAATGTTATGTATTTACTATATATTACAGGCCATTTGAACTTCTTGAAATTCCTTAGGCTATAATAAAAGCAAACACTTAAATTCAGTATAGTAAAAAAAATAAGCACTGATAAATAATGCAGTTATTTCCCCGGATTTTTTCGGAACTTTAATTCAAGTTTTAATTTGTTATTTGGTAGAACAGACCATCATCTATTTTCAGTGGATGCGCAAAGATACGTATTTAAACTCTTGTTGAGATATAGTGTCTCAAATGTAATCTTCTATCAAAATTTGTTGGCAATTTTAATACATTAATCACTCATGTTCTAGTTCGCCAAGTTTCGAATAGATAAATAAACAGCAAACGTACACCAACTTCAAGTTTTAGATTGACCATTTCATTTTAAAATCGATTCTTTGACTCTCTCTTAGGAATTAAATGCATGAAAAAATCATGCATACATTACCTTTTAGGATCTGCATCCCCGAACAAAAATCTTTCTCATCTTTATCTTTTTACGATGTCAAACTTTGTATTAAATTTATTACCGAGTAGAGATATTACATGAAAGTTTTATTTCATGTTGGTGTACAGATTACACTAATAAAACTCTTATGTCATATCTTTACTCAGTAATAAATTTGACACAAAGTATGACAGTATAAAAAGATAAAGGGAGAAAAGACTTTTGTCCAAGGTTGTAAAATGATTTGTTTCATACTTTTTTTATTTTTTCATTCGTAAAAATATACAGAGTTGCACAATCTTCTAGATTACACTCGAGACAAATAATGTTAGTAGAAGTGAATAATTTTTGTAGTAAGAGCCAGTAAAGATTGCAACATATACTATAAACATCGAGAAATTTAGGTTTTAAACAGAACTTCAGAAAATATGCAATACTCAGAAACTCAGAGTGTGGGTGTGGATGTGGGCCTTGTCTTCGCTCGCACCCAAATCATACACTCACACCCCACGCTCCACATCTGGAGTTTTTGAAACACACTCGAATCCAACAGAATCCGAATTGATTTTAAGAAAACAAATATGAACAGAACCTGAGCTCTTTTTTAGAGAAGAAAGATGAATCGAACCTAACTCGAACCAGTAAAACTCGGTTCGATTCGATTTCTGCTATCAATACATCCTCTACACTTTTTGTATTAGATATTACTCTAAACTCATAATAAATGTAAGTAGTTCCTGATTATGATTCATATACGTACCCTTTTATTTCGAACAAGAAT